AGCCTACCACCCAGAGAACAATAAAGGGCAATAAAGTGGCAGGGAAGGAGGGAGGGAGGGAGAGAGGTGAGGAAGAGAAGGGAAACTGGGCCCAGGTGTACATGGAGTTTCCTCTTCTTCTCCTGCCTGTGTTCTGAGCGGTCCCTGGGGTTCTGAGATCTTCCTGTCTAACAGCCTCTTATGTACTCAAGACAATTCCAGGGATTCTATCACTTGAAAATAAAGAGTTTCTAATAATTTTAATACTGGACCTAGGCTATAGAGGAGGTAATCAAAAAGACGTCTTCATTGGGAACCCTATTTTCTTCCTAAAGTTCAGTATCTCCAAACCTATTTATTCTGGCCTCACACTAAATCCCTCATTGTTTATAGTAGAGGCAAAGAATTGTGCCTTTTCTTTGAGCTGTTTCTTCCAGATTGGTTTCTGCCAAAACAGCCCTTTCTGTTTATTCAACAGAAGAAACAAAATAAAACCCACAGCCATTTCTGGAGTCGATGCTTCCCTGTGCCAAAGTTCAGGTGTGACAGTCATTGCTGCTGTTCCTGGGTCACAGAAGTGGGACAAGGTGGGTGGGACAGGGCGATGGGCCACAGCAAGTCTGCTGGGATGTGAGATAGGCTAAATACAAGGGATGAAGTTTTAATATATTTTTTGAGGTCAAGGAGGATGAAGAGAAAAGGGGTTGGTTTGCAGGTAGGAAGCAAAAAACTCTTGTTCCAAAGCAAAAGACAACTACTCTGATAAGACTGCAAACATCAAATGATAGGCATAGACCTATCATAAACCACAGATGAGCCACAAACTGGGAAGTGATGGTGTTGCCACTTCCTGTACAGGTATCCCAAGAGGGACATCAGGACACTCTCAGCCTCCTGAACTTCTGGTTCTGACCCTCATGGTTTTATGGGGTGTGAAAGCATGTTTAGAAGGAGCTGGCGGCAAAGACACATGTATGTGCATGTGTATTCCATGCACAAGTGCAAGAAGCCACAAATGGGGCACATTATGAGGTGGGAAGTAAGGAGAGAGATGATCTTAGGTGGACAGGGCATGGAACACCTGCTACTCATGCTTGCAGCCATTGTTATATATAACAGCCTGCGTGGGGCTAGGTCCTGCTCTAGACACTGGGGTTTCTGCAGTGATGTGAATTGGGTGTCTCTCTCCCCATGGTCTCTCCCTCACACCCTAGTCTCTCCTGCCTCATTCTGACTCCATGTCTTCACTCCTGTCTTTTGCTGTGCCTAGAATGAGCTTTCATTTCTCTTTAAATCACATCTAGTTAGTGAAGTAAGGCTAGAAATGAATGCAGGCAGACAATCACAATGAGAGACAAAAAGGTGAATAATAAGATAATAATAGTTGCTAACATTAAATGAACACTTCTGAGATCCAGAGATCATAGGTGGTTTACATATATTCTTTAAACCTTAAAATAGTTCCATTTTGGGCCTCCCCTGGTGGCACAGTGGTTGAGCGCTGGGCTGCCAAGCTGCCTGCAGCCTGTGCAGTGCCAGTTCGATCCCAGGCCACCGGAGGAGGGTCCCACATGGCACGCAGACCTCTCCTGCCGCCCACTGCTCCCCTCAGCAGTGTATTTCGTCAGTCTGCCTGTGCTGTTCCCCACTCTGGCTCTGATGAATTCTCTCACCCTCCCGCGCTTCTGACTGTACCCAGTGCTTGTATAAATAAATAAATAAATCTAAAAAAAGTTCCATTTTGAAGATGAAGAAATTGAGGCTGGGCTATATAGTTAAGTTTTTTGCCAAAGATCACATCAGAGTGCCAACCTGGACACGGCTCCTTCATTCCCACACTGTCTGGGGAAGGTAGGACAGCTAAGCAGGTTGTTGGGCCTCTGGGATTAACTGGCTTGATGGTTTTTAGAGCTCAGGTACAAGGTGTTATTCAGACCATGGAAGAGAGCTATTCCATTTATAGGAAAGAGCCTCTCCAAGTCAATTGAACAGAGGTGCAGATGTAAAATAACAACAAATCATGTTAAATAACACAGAGGTTTTTCCACATGTAAGAAAGCATTCTGTTAATTTCATCATCCCTTCAACAAATACCTCTTAGAGCCTAGTATGTGCAAGTAATCCCAAAGAATTTAGCGTTTAAATTAGCAACAGTTACATCTGCATATAGCATTGAAAAGTACATAATTATTAAATGAAATAAAGGGCAATTTCAAAATTGGAATCCAAAAGCTTGTGTTTTGTGGCTTTTCCTAGGAATGCTTTGTTGGAAAGCAGGGACAGGAGGTATGCACTCAGAAACAGTGACTGCAAGAATGGAATTCCTAATTTATGTAGTGTTGAGAGTTTCTATTCATTTCTCTTGGTGAAATTCCTGGAAAGAGCAGGCTAGGGCTTTTATCTGGGATTGGGGGGATAGTCTTGACTGGGGCCAAGAAATCTTTGTTATCAAATGAAGCATCAATCTGCTGGGTTGTAGTCTCTGGTGTGCCCTCCAGGTGAGTGTTCAGATGGGGCTGAGTGAAGCTTATTTGCTGAAAAGCATGAAAATGTGACTATTCCTTCTTGTTGAACACTTATATACACCACATCCTCAAATAAAAATATAAATCAAGAAGTTTCAGAAGAAAGCCTAGTAGACATCAACATAAAAAAATAGGTGTGAAATCAAGACAAAATTACACTAACTAAGCAGCAGGGACCCTTCACTAGAGTGACCTTTCTTCTATTTCAGTGCTGAGTTGTTAAACACTCTGTTGCAGACCTACTTTTAGAATATTCTTCCAAAGACCATGCAAAGTTTCCAGTGAGCATTGGTGAGGGGTGGGAGGGGCAAGCAATGACAGAGGGAACCACCCTCCCCCAACACTCATTCTTAAGGGCCGTGGCACGAACAGTACCATTGAAAACCACAGTTGAGTGATACAGCTACTCAAGGGCCTGGTAAGTCTCAAAGATGTCTGTTCTGAACATGGAAGAGGTTCGTCCCTGTCTGACTGTGTACTCCTCTTCAACAGCCTGTCTGTTCTCTGACTCTAAGATTAAAAAGACTGAAATTGGTGTTTGGAAGTCTCAATCAATTAAATGTGCTTGTGAGTTTTTCATACAAGCTCAGACACAGCATATATAGAGAGAAGCTATCTATGAAAAGTCCTACCTTGGTAGGGCATAATTCCAATTGTATCTTAAACCCCAAGGAGTTGAAATTTTCAAGAGGAAAGAAAAGAATTTGCAAGTCCAAAAAGAGCTACCCTCCCATTCATGATAGAGCAACCACAGGATGCAAAGAATCAGGGATTTCTGCCAAAAGTTAGAAAGCACTTTCTTAAGGAAAAAAAAAGGTGAAGAGAGAAAACAGCAAAGAGAAAAAAGTCTAAAGGCCTTTTATGCTCTAAATTAGCCCTCTGGCTCTATCAAGAGCTTGTGAGAACCTCTATAACATAATTCTTCACCCTAAGGCTAAATGTGGAGGACTGAATAATTCCATTCCTCAGTTCAATTATAGTATGAGAAAGCCTGGGGCCACTGACTTTCTAAAAACAGAAGCAGGGAAAACAGACCAAACTATCAGGACTGTATAGTTAATAGACACACATTTGTCCTTAGGGATTGGAAAGCAACAGGATAAACAGCTCCCTGGTCACCTGTGACAAAGGGACTATCGCTTCCCAACAGTCACGTGGGTTGTTGACCATAAAGGGAAAGTCTGTTAGACGTTCCTTGAAACCACAGATTGGCTATTTGATCCCTTTTCATGTGGGCTATTTTTAAGAATTGGAGCTACTGTTTTGGATTACTAACAGAACTTTTTAGATTCATTCTTGTATACATAAGAGAACAATTAATTCTTAACTTTTATATTAACCAATGTAGTAACTGCCTCCCCCATCAAAAAAACCTAATTTGCCTTTCTTTGAATAAATCCTGCCTGAATAAAATAATGGGAAAAAAAATTAACAGCATGTAGTCAAATTTATAAGTGAATGAATATTATAATGATACACACTGTGGATATATTTTAAGACCTTATGCAGTATTAATTTTCTACTTGTCCATGGTTATGTCAAAAACTACAGTGTGTGATTCTCTTCAAAGCGTACCAAAGATTATGAATACTTTGGTTCAGATTTGTCAAATTAACAGTAAAACAACAAATTAAAAAAAAAAGGAATTTGGTGTCCTCTTTTATTCTTCCTGGATCCTACATCTCCACTCTCTCCAAGTACCCAATTATCATCCATTTTCTGGGGTAAAAGCTCCACCTCTGCCCAGTGACTCCTACACTGAACAGCATCTCACACAAAAGGTTCCAGAATCTCCTCCCAGTCCTTCTTACGACACCTGAGGGCAAAGGAAATAGGCCGTCCTGACCCGACAGAGCCAGACTGAAGATGGCCATATTTCCAGGTTATAAATGCACATGGGAAAACTCCCTTCGCTCCCACCAACTTTCTATACTTTCATTTGCCCTCGTGGGCAGGATCAGGCTGCCAGGGAGCTCCCTGCACCCAGCACAGCAACAAAAGCTACTGTCTGGTGTCTCCTGTCATCGTTTGCCTTCACAGCTGTCCACACATAAACCAAAGACACTAGCATCACTGAAAACAAAAGACAGAATACAACATGTGAAATGGGCAGCTGTTTTCACCCGCTCAGAGATGGCGATATTCTTTACTGCTGCTCTGAGAGGAAAATTACTGCTCAGCACTTACCAGAAGGCCTCTAAATGTCACAGACCAGGCATGCTCTGCTTTTCTTTCATTGACCAGGGGAATATGAAAAGGAAATGGACCCAATTGTCCAGAACGGAGTTAGCATACATATAGGGTGTTTCTAGGCATCGGCATCAAGCAGACTGCTTTCAGAGGTCTCCAGTTTCATTTGGTACAAAGCGAGTGGCTCCACATGGGGAGCTGAGGAATGTAGCATCTCATGACTTTCCAGAGACCAGATGGAAACCATACCCTGCACCCCTCCACCTGCCCTTTCTCACAGAAGGAGGAACGCAGGGGCTCGCTTACCTTAAAGTTGTGTGTCTTCTCATAGTTGAAGTGGTTGTCGTTGTGTGTGAGGGCAGCCCTTCGGACCAGGGAGGAGATCTGTGAACAGGCAAAGAGTTTGAGAGGGGGCCAAAGAAAGGCGCCTTTCAGTCCCACCTTCACCCCGAAGGCCACGGCCAGCAGCTCCTGGCGCTTCCTGCCTTGCTTAGACTTCCGAACCACAGCACACTTTTTCTCATTTTCTAGCCACAGTTCCTGGGAGTACATGGTGCCCGACCCCCAGATCTATTTTCCCCTGCAGAGCCTTGTAAGCTCAGCACGCTGTCAGGGTTTTCAAACCGCGGCTAATGTTAGACAGCAGATTTGAGGCAGCTGCGTCCTGTCTGCCAAGGCCTGGGGCATGTGACCTGGAAGGGCCGGTTGGAGTGATGGAGGGGGCTCTGTATCTGAATAAGGATGAGTCTGTTTTGTGCTATTTCTTAAGGCCGACATGTGCCTGGAACAATAGCACACATTCATGGGCATAGTCACCCACAGAAGCTGCGTCCAGTCAGCCATGGAGGGGCCGATGGAGGTGGGGGGGGGGCGGGGCTGGCGGCTTTATTCCTCCTGCCATAGTACATTGCAAAGGAGAGACCTCACCAATATCAGACACACACACCACACACACACACCCCTTCCCACTCCAAGCTCTGCTGTTCAAAGCCTGAGGTTGCATCCAATTATTCTAGGACTCTAAACCCCATCCTGGGCTAAACCTTTAAATTCTGATGATTGTTTAATCTTATAGGGATAAAGCCTCCATCTCTCCCTCTCTCTCTTTTTAAATCTGCCCTACTACCTGAAAGCTTTTTTTCACTCTTATGCATGCATTAAATGACAACAGTCTGAGTGCTGAATGGGGCATGGAGGAAGAGTACTTTAGCTCTGAGTTCTATGAAGTTTGAAATAAGAGGCAGGTTGTCTTCCTCCAGCATAACCCCAGTTTCTCTTCTCTTTCCCAAACACAACCCCCAGTATGCACACACAATATTCCATAACTAAGACCATAGTTTTAGTTGTTTACTTTTTAAAAGATACACCTTTAATATCCTAATGTTAGTGTCCAAGCTTGGGAAGGGATCATGCTCAGCGAAATAAGCCAAAGAGAAAAAGAAAAATACCGGATGGTCTCACTCATAGCAGGAATCTAGAAAACTTAAATAAGGGACCAGGAAAATGAATAACTATAAGAAAGTGAAAATCAAAATCAACAAAAAACTATGAACCAGAGACACTTTTAGGGGGTGGGGGCGGGAGGGGAGGGATTGGGGTCAGAATGGGGGGGCTGCAATTGTATGGGGAATATAACAATAAAATTTATAAAAAAAAAAACAAAAAAAAAAACTTCTAAGGGACCATGGTGTTTGGTCCCCAGTTTCCCCATTAAAAGTGAGGCAATCACTCTGTCTTGGCGTTGATAAAACTTACTAATTCCAGGCAGTAAAATCAATGTTTTGGGAACTGAAAGCAAGAAGAACAAAGATGACTCGACCATTATGAAGGTGGTGGTACAAGAGTCTAATTCTGTCTTCTTCTGAGACAGGGTCCTGTGTTCCTGCCCCTCCAGAAATGCCATGGAGAGAAACAAAAGACCAATTTGCACCTGGTGTAATTCTTTATTCCTAACAATCCCCACCATTCCAACTTGGTTCAGAAGTACATCCTCCCAGTCCACCCTCTTGTTACATTCAGTAATACTAGCAGTCAAATGTTATATTGAGTTAATGAATGAACACAATAACTTAGGCTGTGGGATGATAAATAATCCCTGGTATGAAGTGCACTTAATCTTCAGCTCATGTGTTTGAGGACCAAGACTCTTATCCTAATTTTTTCACTGAAGAGTTTCAGGCACTGAGGTGAAATTGTTTGTCTAAAAATTTATAGCTGGTTTAAGTAACAGAAGCAGGAGCAGATCCTAAAACACAGATGTCCAGCACCTCTGCTTCCAAACTCCATGTCCTGGTACCATAAAAGCTGCTGCAGTGTCATAGCCTCCATGTGTCCTGCCAGATGCTTGATCTGTGACACTGATCCAATCTGCCCACTCCTTCCCTTTCAGCTGGAACCCTGTATAGTGCTCCAGCACAGCTTACACACAACGGTCTTCTGAGTCTGGTCACTGCTCCTTCTCTGCTAGAAATGTCACTGATTCTCCACCACTTAAACACGTTCTGGCATGGGAGTGTTTTTTTTTTTTATGAGCTCATCCCAATCTATCCAGCTGATCTACTTGCCTACACGACCCTCCACAAACCCCATAAACCTTTTCTCTGTATCCCTTAATATACACCAGCTTCATTTCAACATTTTTACTTATGTTTATATTTGAAACTAAAGTTCCACCTTCTCAAAAGATATCTTCACACTCCCCATGGGAGCAAACGCTCTCCTCTGAAACCCCACAGCACTTTCCTCACATATTTTTATTACACTTATCACTTCCTACCTTGTATTGGAGTGACTGATGATAGACCTTCTATCCCTGCATAGTGACACACTGGGCATGCTCTCTGTCTACTTTGCTTGTTTCCCCTACTACAGTGTCTAATAAGATTCCTTGTCCTAGAAGGTACTGAATAAATTTGTCAGGGAGTCATAGTTGTGAAGGGAGGTGTGCAGAGGTGGCTGCCTGGGGTGGGGTGTATCCCCATCCTATGATCACCCATCACCATGCTTTAGCTTCCAAGGACCTGAACCTCTGCAGTCTGCCCTCCTGAGGGATCCTATCACACTCCTTCTCCTGCCTGATTCTAAAGGACAACTGCCATGCACAAGGATCTAGTGAAGGTTTGCTGTACCTTTGAAAGGCTTCTAATCATTAGCCTAAAGGTAAAAAGACAGTACTGAGGAATAAGGGTTCCTTCCTATACCTTTAATTGGTAGCAAAACAATAGAGCCCCTCTGGTGGTGAGCCATTGTGTATATCAATGGACTCTGAATTTGGTTGATTACACAGATATAAGGTTTTAGAATAGAATACAGTAACTCCTTCAATGAAAAGCGGGTAAAGGGGATCCTCTTTTCCTCCTGGTATACGGGTGATTGAACACAAGGGGATTTAATATTTTCTCTTGTGTCTGTGCCTTTTCTTGTAACAAGCAATTTTTGTTTCTCTTTGTGACAATGATTCCTTTTTTACATATTAATTCAGTAGAATTTACCCAAACACAAGATACATTCAGATGTGTGCAGCAACTACACACTGTTCACTTAAGTTGCATCTTTACAGGGAACCAGCAGTGCTGGCATTTGAACGAGCATTATTGTGGGTAGTGTGGATAACCCCAGATCACCCTCTTATTAAAAAAAAAAAGATTACAAAAACCTCTTGGTCAAAAACCTCCCTCTTAAATAACCCAACTATACAGAGATTGTCTTTATCCAAACTCCTCCAGGACAGCGTCTTTTTCTTTTATATTCCCCACAATGTCTAATACATATTCTCTATACACCGTGGACATTTAATACTTTGGCAAAACAAAATTTTCATCTGACCTATTTTTATCTACACATTCATTAGATGAAGGACATTTCTCTACATGCTCATTTAAATCAGGTACCTTAGAACTACTGGCATTTGAGGCCAGATAATTATTTGTTGTGAGACCCAATCTTGTATCATATAGAATGTTTTAGAAGCAATCTTGCCTCTACTCACTACATGCCAATAGAATCCCCCAACTGTGATAATAAAAAATCTTGCCAGATGTTGTCAGGTATCCCCTAGGAAGTAAAACTGCGTTCAGTTGAGCCCCTGGTCAGATTAATAACAAATATTTACAGCCCCTAGGAAGTAAAATTGCCTTCAGTTGAGCCCCTGGTCAGATTAATAACCAATATTTACAGCATGCTTACCATGTGCCAGCTGTACAGGCACTCTGCAGCTAGTAACTCATTTAAGATCTATAACAGGTTCCATGAAGTAGGTAGTTATAAAGCTTCCCATTTTATCAATGAGGAAATGGGAACCAAAATAATTTGTCCAAGGTCAAGTAGCTGGAAAGTAGTGGAACTGACATTAGAACCCAGGCACGATTCGTCTATGCCTTTATTTCTTTCTCAAAAACAAGTTTCTTTGTTTTATTACTATGTAAAATACACACACATAAAATTTACCATTCTAACTATTTTAAAGTGTACAATTCAGTAATTTAGTGTTCTGAATTGACAGTGCTCTGCAGCCATCACTACTATATTGTTCCAGAACATTTCTATCATCCCAAATAAAACTCTATACCCATTAAGGTGTCACTCACCATTCTCTCTCCTGGGAATCACCAATCTACTTTCTATTTTATGCATTTTAAAAAACATAGAGTCATACAATATTACGTTTTGTATCTAGTTTCTTTCACTTAGTATCTTCTCATGGTTTAATCCATGTTGTACATATATCAGTATTTAACTCCTTTATTATTATATAATATTCTGTTGTATGGTTATACCACATCTTCTTTATCCCTTTATCAGTTGACATATATCTGGATTGTTTCCACCTTATGGCTAATGTGAATATCGCTGCTAGGAATATTCTTGAACAAGTTTTTTTTTAACACCTGTTTTCAATTCTTTTGGGTGTACACTAAATATATGTTTTTAACCACCCTCTAAACTGCCTCTCATTCAAATACTGTTCATGTATAAAAATATGCAGGAGATGAATGCTTGAAAGACTCCCTTCTCCATTGTTAACCTGTTAACAGCTCTGGTGTTCCCTGGTCTGGTTTTTAAATAGGAAACTTTTGTTCTCTCCAGGCCTCTGCTATAGCAGGCACCACTTAAGATACTTTGGGAAGTAGGTGGGACTATATATAAGTGGTGAGAGCAGCTCACCACTTCCCTTTTCCTTTTTTATAAATGGTGGCTGGGATTCTATTTTTCTATGGCCTCTGACTGTTCTTTTTGTCTATGATTAGGATCCTGGATCCAAGATGAAATCAGGTAACGAGACAGCAGTAGAAGGCTGTCAGATGAAGACAATGAGGCAAAGATGGGTCAGTGGGCAGGAAGATGGAGAAACGAAGCCTAAGGGCTTGTAATATGTAATTCCCTGG